TAATAAAAACAAAACACATAATAATAACGATAATAATAATAATCAAGAGAAACCGAAAAGGCCTCAAGGGCTCCGAACCCCACACCTCTGGTCCAACGCCAACCGACACAAACCTCCCTCGCTCCGCCGCACCTCGAAAGCCCCGCGCGAAGCGCCCGAAGGCGGAAGCCATGGCTCCGAGACTCTTCTGACTCTGACGCGAAGCTGCTGAAGCTGATCCCTTCGGAAGCGTTCAAATATGAAACCGGCGAAAGAGCCGCAAATATGTTTTTTAGAGAGCTTGAGCTGCACATATGTTTAATTCAAGAGCTTGTCAAGCAAAAGCCTGCCAAGATACCAGAAGACTTTGTTCTGGTCTTAGGGTCCTCTTGTGGGACTTGGTAGACTCATCTGTGGCGCCAGGTAGAGGAACCGAGCTTCCCTGATGTTCCCCGAGCTTAAGCCCTGAACACTGAGCGCTGAGCTAGATTCCAAGCTGACACAATCTCGGCTCAAGTGTCCTTCTGGAGCAAATAGATGTGTATATATAGTGTGCCTTTCTTTTTAGGGGATCCCCCCAAAATGATTTCAGATTAACTTTGGGTTTCCCGTAAAACCCACCAAAGAGGGGGTCCCCTAAAAAAGACAAACCTATGTGTGATGTTAGGGTACCGTGCGTTTATCTTTTTTTTGTTTATAAGAGAAGGGTTAGGAGACATATGTAAATGTTGCCGGATTGTTGGATGGTTAGCAGATTCATTCATTCATAAGCCTGACCAGATGTTAAAATGACATCATGGACAACTTTATCCTTCCATCTTGCTCCCTCCTCTTCTCACTTCTTAATCACATCCTAGATACAGAGGTGAAGAATGTGGAAGGGAAAGGGAAAGAGATAAAGTGAATATTCTTTCATTTCTTCTCTGGGTTTCTGGATCTCTTTCTTTTGGTCGTTAACTTTATAAGGACAAGCCTTACAAAGAAACCAAACGAATGATTAAGAGACAACCAAAAGCCAAATAATAAGAGCTCAAAAATAATGTCATTCATCTCCTTCATTCATCTTTCGAGTTCTCTCGTCTGTCACTTCATCTTTCTTTGTCGCTTATCTGTCCTCTCTTCGCTGCACCGTGTTTGAAGGGAAATCCAAAGGAACACCACTTGAGGATCCCACTATTTTGACCCAAACAGATGGTTGGCACTGGCAAATGATTTGACCCAAGCTGAAACCAGTGTCACCCAACCAAACTGACTCGTTCTGATCAGCGTTTCACCTCGCCTTCCAAGGAAAAGAGAGTGCTTGGGCAAATAAACTGTACTGGTAACATGGTTAAAACCGAACCTAGGTCCTCCAGTAGAGAGGTTCGAATAAGGGTACCAACTTCTTTCTGTAGTCTACTTTACTAGGAGAACCCCTCCCAAACCAACAAAGAGGTTAAGAAGGGAGCTGGGGGACCTAGGAACTAAAGCCAGTCGAATCCAACTTCTTTCATGTAGAATTCCGCCCGAAGCAGATCCCGAGTACAGGACCATCAGATCCCCCGCTAGAAGTTGAACTTTTAGTTGGTTAACTTTTGAATGGACACTACCACTAAACACTAAAAAGCCAAAAGGCTAAGGAACCGGATGGCTGGGAGCCAGATCTATGTTCAACCAGCTGACACGCAGATCGAGATCGAACCCTCTCGGATCCGAGGTGAGCACAATGCTTCCTATTGATTATGTGTCGCAAGGATGAATCGGATCGCAGTCTTGCTGGTCCATGAGAAAGGACATGTATAATATGAAAGCAACCATTGCCAGTGGGAGTCCTGCTTTTGACGTGTCAATATTGTTCTGGTTGGATTACAACTCAGAAGTCCAGTGGATATGAAAAAAAACAGGGCATTGTTGTGGGTGGATGATAATAACTCAGGGCTTGCCAACAAGCGTCCTTCCTTCAACTCGGTCCATGGGATCGGACTCTGGCTCCTCCCTCTCGAGCCTGGGCAAATCCATCTAGGGGGGTTCTCATTCGAAGTCACCCACTGGCTTTCAGGAAAGCTGCGGCATCCCCGAGCCAGCCCATCTGAGCTTGGTTGCTGTTGACCCCCCCCTGCTAAAAAGTGTTTCACTTTTTGGGGGGGTTAGTGGAAACCACCTTGGTTTCAACCAAAAAGTTCAAGTCTAAAGATCCGACCCAATCGCAGCTCAAGTGAGCTCCCTGTGCACCGAAGCGAGAATTAGGGCCAGCACAAGTTGAGAGATCAAGGCCAAGCACCTGGCAGCAAACGAAGCTCAAGCGGACCGCGCCGGGGGGCATCCGGTTTCCTGGCTTTGCTCAGGTGTCCTTTTTGGAAAAATAGGATGGCCCGACATCCACCAGATTTTGCTCAGGTGTTCTTATTGGAAAATGGGATGGCCCTGATAGACGATTGAGCCAAAAACCAGGGAGCTCCCTCGAGTTTTTGTAAGTAGATCCAACGAGATCTATGCATCGGGGAGCCGAGTTTCAGCCGGAAAGGCTGCCCTTCAGTCCGTACCTGTCTCCTGCCTGCACCCGGCAGGTTTGCGGGTGTGCACCAAGAATGTCCTGGACCTACCAACGGCACCAGTTACCCAGACATGTCTTGAGTAGACGTTATTTTTAGTGAGGAACCTAGCAATCAAAACAGGAGACATCTGCAACTGAAAACATGTGTCGTGAACTTCGAACATGCCTTGAATGGTTCAGCGTGCCTACGGCGTGTTGAGGAACCATTCAAGGTGATTCAGAGATTCGTAGTAACTGTAGATTGCTACGTTCAGGCCCTTCTTAGCTTGACTCACTCGGGGGGGGGGGGGGCTACTCCAGCAATGCAGCCCATGTCGCATCGTCAGTAAAGGTCGGGCTCACAGAAATTGCAACCGACCACTAAATCTTGGTTGCTTTCTCTTCCCCTGCTAAAAGTTTAACGTTTAGTGGTTTAACGGAAAACCCATTAGTTGGCAAAAAGCTAAAGTCCTAACATCCAAGCAAAATGCGCCAAAGAAATGAGCAAAGTTGCCCTTGGCCAAAACTGGGGGCCGAAGGGAATATTGTTCAACCCCCCATCTCGAGAACCGCCCCCTATTTTTTGAGCAAAACAACCCAAAAGGACACCTATGCGAAGAGGCTAGAGGCCGATTTGCTTTCGGAGTTCAGCACTCCTTGCTTACATGTACTTTCCAACGCAAGGGAGGGGTTCCGCCAGTTCAAAGACGCATTTTCCAAAACAGGGGGGTCGAAAAATTGGCCTTGGCTGCCCTTTCCGTTTCAAATTTAACGCCAAGGCTCCAAGGCTGAGGCTGCTTTGGCCTCAGCTCGAGCCCGTGTCCTCCATTTGCGTGCGCTTTTGCCCTCCGGCCAAAATGAAAGAAAAACTATGTCACTACTGAAAACGATTCCCTTTAAAACCAACAGGGGACATAAAACATCTTCTTAAGCAAATGGAAGGTGTTCAAACCCCACCGGCCCTTTCGCGCAGTCACGCTCGCGCCTCCGCCACTCCCATGACCTCGTGAAAATTGTGGGAGAGACCCCCTGAAACAAGTCGGCAACTGGGCTGTCCGTTCTCAGATCCCCTTCTAAAACCCACTAAACCCTAAAAAGCCAAAAAACTAACGGGATGGCTGGGAACCAAGGGAAACAGAGCGGTCTAAGTTCTAAGTCTCTTGCTAGCCAGAATCTAGGTTGGGGGAGAAAGAAGGAAAGCCATCAACAGGCTAAAGGGCAAAAACTGCGAAAAGGTCAGCTACATCATTGCATCTGTCAAGGATGTGGGCGTTTTTGTTGTGGGGGGGGGGGGGGGGGGGGGGGGGAGTGAAAGAAAGAGCAAAGGAAGACAACTGCATGGTGTCCTCCTTTGGGTGTCTTTTTTGGAAGATTTTGGGAGTGCCCTTTTTGGTGTGGTCCAAACCCTATTCCCATTCTATTTGGGATCCAAATCCCTATGTTGACAAGCCCAGCCGATTTCAAGACACACGTGGCATAAGCTTCAACTCCCTGTCAAACCATTTGAGAGCCCAACGCCTTACTTTTGATTCTAACAACATGGATATAAGTCAGCTTGCCTCTAATTTGTAGTTAGGATTGATGGTTTGGTTGAGGAGGGGTTAACCATTTTCCCTTTGCAAAAGCCAGGGGTTCAAATCCCAAACCACCAATCCAAACCACCAACTAAGGTTCACCAGAATAAAGGTTTAAGCTTATCTCGTCTTCACTAACTCCTATCAAACCAGGTACTAGAACCTACTACACTTGCTAACGAGAATCGGTGTTGGGCACTCATTTCTGGACTCCGGTTCCCTCTGAGACATCGGCAGTGCGGCGAAGCGACCAGTCCGTAAGATCTTAAGAGCAGGTCGCGCAAGACGTCCGATTTTGTGAACTACCCCGAAAACAACGAAAATAAAAAGACAGGTGGCCTTTTGGTTTTCCTTTCACAAACGCCTCAAAAAGAAAGGGGCCCCTCAACAAAAGACACATCCATAGGCGTGTGTGTTTTAACAATACTCCCGTTGGTGGACACATAGGTGAGGAGTCATGGCCACCAAGTACTTTTGAGGTGATTCCCTCAAAAGAAATCGCATGGATGTGGACACTCTCACACCCATGGGCAATCATGACTTCGCTGATTCGGATTGGATTTGACGGGCCTTGAGCCGGCGCTGGTTGAGCAAAACAACTTCCCTCAGGCTCCAATTCGATGATTCTTGGGCCCTCAAAACTTGCTTGACGTTGGAAGGAGAGCAACAACTTGAAGTCTAGCAGCTAAGTGGGGATTTGCCACTAAACGACAATAAGCAGAAATGCAAAAGGTTTCCCAACAACAACCATGAAAATGAGTTGTTTTCCAGGGAAAACAAGAGGAATTGGTCCGGGTTCTTCGTTGGAGGGCCGGAAGGCCTGCACTGGAGGGAGCCATAGGGTTCCGCCACTTGAGTCGCAATCAAAACCCGGTGGACTCACTCACTTTAATAACATCACTTCAAGGCAACAACTGAAGCACAGTATATACCTGGCCAACTGAAGCACAGTCAGTATACCTCAAAGCCAGCCAAAAGCGGACTAGCCGAGGCGGGCGGCCGGCTATTTGTTGGGATTGTCCCTCACCAATACCCGGGTTTTGATTGCGGCTCAGTTGTGCTGCCTTGGGCTCGGATCGTAACTCGATTTCAGGCCACCAATTCCCA